AAAACAACCAAAAATATTGTGACTGAATGGCTCTTCCGAAGAATTGTCATAGGATCCTCTGTAGGAGACTTCACTTCAGATTCACGTGTACTCCTGATTGAGAGTATTCCAGCCGATGATACCACCAGATMAAAAGAGTGAACAACAAGAGGAAACAAGATAAATCCAGATGGATCTGCAAGGGGAAAACATTACCACCAACTAAAATAGAGATAAAGCAGAAAAATATTTGTGAAGCAAGGGGCACTTGGAAATTAATTTTTCTGGGCTGTTTTGTCATATGATAAATAGGGGGAGATGCACTCTACGCTCTCCATTGTTTGTTTTATCCATTGTACATTTTGTTTATAATTAATGAATGAATGAAAATCGGTGCTTATCTAGAAAAAAATATTTCTAATAAAATAGTTGCTTTATTAACAAATAGATACTTTTTTGATAAGTGTATATTATCTTTATAAGTAAATAACAGTGTAGATTTCATTCATAACATAACCATACTACCCAGAAAATCTGGGTTTCATTCATAATGGTAAGAAGCCCAAAGGCAGCGGAAACCTGTGAGATAAGCATACCTCAAATTTGTTTCGTGATAAATGCATGAACGAAATAAATTAAAAACAAGAAAATTTGTTTCCAAGGCGAGATAAACATACCCCAAATTAGCAAAATTGGTGATTTAAGGAGATCAATAGTGCCTCAATTGCAAAAGTGGAGGTTCTTCCAAGATTTAGTAGAGCTGTTACAATTTTTTTTCTCTGACATCAAAGGAATGTAATTTTTGCTCTTCTCTAATATACTCTTCCGACATCTAGGTTGATAGTACCTCTCAAAAAACCCCAGCGCCAATTGCATGCGGTTTGCTCTTCTCTACTCTGTGTGTTTGTTGTTAAGGTTTAGGTCTTCGGAAGGTTAGGAACTTCAGTGATTCAAGTTGGGCACCAAACAAAGTGTAAAAGAAAATTGTAGGTGATTTGCTCTTCACTACTCTATGTTTTTATTGTTATGGTTAAAGTATTCTGAAGGTTAGGGACTTCCCCTTGGTTTCTGGTTTCTATGGATAAATAGGCAAATTGCTTGTACTTTCGAACCTAGGGCGCTTGACAAAAGGGTTCATGGAAAACAAATCTTCACTTTGTCCAATAGTTCTATGGGTTCCCAAAACATTCTGATGGTAGAGAGCTTGAGTCAGCCGCTTCACACCAGCAACAATTGGGTCAACAACAGCCCCGACATCAACACCATGCCACGTTGCCTGGGAAAACAAAGGAGGTGTCGTTGCGGCTGTACCGGTTCAACCGGAAATCCTACTGGTAGAGAAGCCTCCAGGATACAAAACTCACAAGCAATGTCCTCTCCTCTCTAATCCCCAGTTGGGTGTCTCACAAAATGGCAGAACCCTGCAGAACTTTTAAAAGAGATGATAGTCTAACCTGGGATGCGATTAAAAGCATACAAAAATATCAAAACCAGAAAACCCAAATCCAAAGTGCACTAATATCTCTTCAATAGCGGTGTTGAAGAAAAACAAAGTGATACCCAAAGAAAAAACAGAGAGAACAAAGATAAAACAAACCTCTATGAAATACCAAAAATATTTATAGTGAAAAAAAGAAAAACAAAAAACATACCAAGCAAATGCGCGGCTCTAGTTCCTCCAACGAAATAGGTTTTGAATAACACTTCAATAGCGGTCTTCTGGAATTGTTTGAACGAGAACACCAAATGTGATAGACGGATTCGATTTTGAGAGGAGACTAACAGTTGAATGGGCAATGTCTTCGAATGAGAATGCTGTCTAGAGTGTGGTGGGTGCACGACTTCGACGAGACGATGAATAGTTCTTCCTTTATTCGAACGAAAATGTGTAGAAACTTCTTATATTTACATTTTCCTATTTGCATCTCCAAATCAATGGTTCAAGTAAAAGCATACCTCTTGAGTGTCCGAAGCCATGTTAGTGGCGCTTTAAAAATGTTTTTAACGGCAATTTAATAAAAGCCACTTAAAACAACTGTATATAGCGCGGCATTTCAAATATGCTTTTTACGGCAATTAAATATCTGCCACTAAAAAATTATGTTTAGTGGCGATTTTACTGCATGTATAATGGCAATTTTTAAAATCGCCATTAAACTAAAGCAAACGCCATTGTAGAAAATGATTTTCTTGTAGTGAAAGAAAACTTGATTTGACAAATAAAAATGTAAGAACAAGGTATAATAAACATTTGACATTTTATTTTATGCTATAGTTTAACTGATTTAACAGAAAAACAGAGGTAGGGCTAGCTAGCTTCTAGAATTCAAAGAATCAAGATTACTTGGAAAGAGTACTGAAACCCCAACAAAGAATAGTGTACCTCATGCTTAGTGATTGGGTAACCACAAGAAAGAATGGCAGAAGCACTTTGGGTGCCAAAAATCTTGCATGCATCCCAAGTATTTGCTATAGCCCATTTCATGGTTGCAACCACTACAATATTTGAGAGGAACATGCATATATGTATTGCCAGAACCAATCAACACAAATATCAAGAAATTTTACGTCTAGGAAATCCCACAAGTTGTTTATAAGATTATGAGTTGTGACATACTTGATAAGCCATGAACTTTGTTGATTATTCATCTCCAAGGTTGTCATCTGGCGTCGTCTGTGTCAGAGTTGCTCAATGCTTTAGTTAATGTTTTTTTATTGATCCTACCCAAGGCCCCTAAGCATATTGACTTAGTTTGCCATCTAAAACTCCAGAAACAGTAATTGATTTGAACCATGAGTTTGACTCCAACTTCTTGAAGTACAGTGAGGGAACAAAAAGAAATAAAGATTTAATGAAACTGACGTATATCCCCAGGGGAAAATTGTGGAGGATATGAAGGCATGTTCAAGCTATCTTGGAGTGCTCTTGCTAGGTCTTCACCATTGTTTGTGTGTCTTCTGTATCCTGCAGAAATCCCAAATATTCAATCTAATATTATTAAGCAAAGAAAAGGAAAAAAGGAGAACCATTATGACTTTATGAGCTATTATACATATCCTTGCACACTTTTTTTCTCAGGGGTGGGGTGGGGGGAGTGTTTGTAAAGGAATAAGACTAGTACTAGAGTTAATTAAGTAAATATGTTCCCTCTCAATCGATCTCCAATCTATTCTATCCATATAATGAATTTCACGGGTTTCCAATTGGGGGTGGGGAGGTTGGCACTAACAATGATTATAAGGAAAAGACATTTTGTCCTCAAACCAACTATGCCAAAGGATACGATAGCTTCACAAATCCTTACAACGAATACTGAGATATCAACCCTAAGCAAGACGACAGAAACAAAAACATAGAGGGAAGGAAACAACCTTTAACCTAATCAAATAAGTTTCGCATACCTTATTGAACATAGGGCTGTCAGTTGGACTGGATTTGGTCCAATCCGATCCAGTCCAATATTGGTCCATTTACAAATAGACCGGACCATATCTGGTCCAAACCTTGTACAAACTGGATCCAATCCGGTGCAATTGAAATGCAAATGGGATGACTGGAGCTAGCTTCAACAGGGCATGTGCTAAATTTCGTTTTCAAGCGTTTTCTCGTTCAATCAAGACATAATAGACCTGTTTATGGGTCTGGCTCGAGCTTGACTTATGGGGCCCGAGCTCGACACAGTGTAAGTCAGGCCCGAAGCACAGCCCGTGAAACAATGATCATATTGAGCCTTCACAAACAAGAGAAGTGGCAGACGTCTTCCTCCTTTTGATCGATCTCTTGCATTCCCTTTCTCAAAATATTATGCCAAAAGTTGGATTCTCCCTTGGATTCCTCTCTTTGGACTCAAACATGGGAAGGAATAGCACAAGGTGCGAAGGAGAAGAACAACTCAGGATAGCCTCTATTTGGTGTTTTGCTTTTAGTTGATATGTCGATTCGAACGCAATAGGTTTAGACCGGTTTAAGTCGTGTTCAAAATTATAAAAGAATGGGTTTGTACCGGTTCAAATGCAATTCAAAATTATAAATGATGGAAAGACCCTTTCCGCCACCCGGCATGAGTTTTGATTTTAGAGGCGGTGGTCTTTCCAAACCTGCCCACCTTAGCATTCTCTATGGCAGTGGTCTTACAAGACCGCTGGTTCTAAACCGCCGCCTTAAACTGTTTTTCTTGTGACATGCCCATGTCACTGGTTCATTGGTTCAACCATCTAAGTTCAGGTTAATGATGGTTTAAAAACACTATCATGATAGCACATAAGGGCCGCTATCTATAAAGTCTGAAGACAAGCTTTTCTTGCAGTTGGGTAAGGGAGCATTCTACGAACCCGGATTAGCAAAAAAAATAAAAACACACTCTTGAATTGTATTTTGCTTTGTAAAACAAAAATAGACTAGTTTTGTTTCGAAAAACAATTCATGTTTTGAAATCATCAAAAACAATTCGAAGAGGAGTTACAGCCATGAATTTGGAGGTCGCGATTTGGGGGTCTTCAGCATACAAGTTGGGGTTTGTGATTCTCTATTTACCTAACTGAGTTGCAGAAAATGCTTCTTCATAACTAATGATTAATTTGATCGTTTATTCATAATTTTTAACAGATAAAACTTTATTGAATTCATCAAAGAATTATTTGATCTTTTTAATTCTTAGTTTTCTCACTTCCTCTCAATTGGATGTGTGTATTGCCATGAATCTACTGTAAAATATCCAGAGAAAAGTAGGAAAAGGTAATGAGAGAAGGCCATCTTCCACTGGTAAGGCCCCATGGATGGGTCTTCCAAACTCAGAAATTTGAGTCCCCTCCATTGACTAATTACGTTCTTGRTAGACAGAGGCAGTCGTGGACGTCCCTGTGCCATTTCTTTCCTTCGCTCTCAAGCCTCAATTGCTTGTGGACCTTGGACAGTATACGTGCAAGAATCAGAAACCAACGTAGCGACTTTATAGATTTTTTTGGGTAATACTTTGGCGATGGTGGCAATTATTTCCCTAAACTTTTATTCGCAATAAAGACTCCTTGAATTTTTAGATTCTGACAAATACCTCCTTCCCCATTAAATTGAATGAGGGAAAAGTTAATTTATCAAAATACCCATGGGAGAAACTTATATAAAATGGAAAACATTGTTAAAACAACCGGTGTAAAAAAAAAAAAGGATAGTTTGTGAAGTTAACTGAGGGAATCCTAGCGGAGAGGATATTAGTCGAAATTCAGGGGATCATAGTATAAATGAAAATTCAGAAGTAATTTACACTTTTTTTCTTGTTTTGATCCTTTTTTATCTTTTTGTTGAATCTTGAATCGCGAAAGAGTAAGCGAATAGCCGAATATATGGTGGCACTGTCATGGTTCATCAATCCTGAACGTTAGAACGAGAGGTTTTCAGCCTAACACCCAATCTGAAAAGAAGAGATTCAACCCAAAAAGAAAAATCTGAATATAAGAGATGACAGTTGGGATATGACCCACCCAAATGGACGGTCTAGAATGTTGAAGCCTTGAAGGTGTTCTAGACTTCATGGTGCTCATGCCCCACAGAGATGTGAATGGAATAAAGGGATGGAGGAAAAATCTGAGAGTCTGAGAAGGCAAGCCATTGAGCGTTGGACACGTATCCGATTTGCAAACCACATCCATTCCCTCTAAAGACCGACCCTTTTCTTCCTTTTGCTTCCCACTGCATTTTGCTCGCCCCCAGGGCTGAAGGACCCTGCTCAATTTTCATCGTTCTTCTGTTTGTTGTTCGTCGGTTTCCCCTGAATTGTTTCTTCTCTTTTTCAAGGTACTCCTTTCTTTTTTTTTATCTTTTCTGCTTTTCTGGATTACAGCTTTATGTTTAGTGAGGCAGAGTGAGTATTGATTGGGAGTTTGGTAATTGTTGATTGATGTTTCATTCGTATTAGATGCCTGGGCACCTTCATAATCTCAGCTTCAGTTTACTGTTGTTCTTAATTGACGAGAAATCCTACCCGCAAACCCTAGATTGTATTGGTTGTGCCTTTGAGCTTAGAATCTTCTTTGAATTTTGACTCAACTCAATGACCCACCAAGTATTAATTAGTTGATTGGTTTATATTTTGTTCTTAGCATCTCTTGGCAACGCCACTGCTGCTAAACATTAGAAACCCATGTACGAATCTTGGCTCTTGTTGTTGTGAAGTTTGTTCTTTTCTTCTGTGGGTAATTGTTTGCTTTCTGTTATATTATACTTGGATTTGGATTCTTAGCTTTTGGGTGGTTTTGTTTGCGTAGTATTGGCTCTGTGGGAGTTGGGCGCTAGTTCTCGTCAATGGCTGCATCCTCGGCATGCCTCATTGGGAATGTTTTATCTACCCGGTCTAGTAAACTAAATCTGAATAGGGAGATTTATGGAAAGCGTTTGTCTCCTTCCTCGGGTCTTCCTTCATCGGGGAAGGTGTTTAAATCAATCTCTGTGAAAGCGTTTTTGGACCGGAGGCAACTTGATGGGAGAAGAGGCTTTTTAAAGCTTTTGCTTGGAAATGCTGGACTTAGCTTACCTGCATTACTTGGTGCTGGGAATGCTAATGCTGAGGAGCAAGGTGTATCTTCATCAAGGATGTCTTACTCAAGGTTTTTGGAGTATCTGGACAAGGATAGAGTGAAAAAAGTAGATTTGTTTGAGAATGGTACAATTGCCATTGTCGAGGCTGTTTCTCCCGAATTGGGTAACCGGGTCCAGCGTGTGCGGGTGCAACTTCCAGGACTTAGCCAAGAGCTCCTTCAGAAATTCAGAGAAAAAAACATTGATTTTGCTGCACATAGTGCCCAGGAAGACTCAGGTTCTCTTTTGTTCAATTTGATTGGGAACTTGGCTTTCCCTCTCATCCTGATTGGAGGCCTTTTCCTTCTTTCGAGGCGCTCTTCTGGTGGAATTGGTGGGCCTGGAGGTCCAGGTTTCCCTCTTGCCTTTGGCCAATCCAAGGCTAAGTTCCAAATGGAACCAAACACTGGAGTAACCTTTGATGATGTTGCTGGAGTAGATGAAGCAAAGCAAGATTTCATGGAAGTAGTGGAGTTCTTGAAGAAACCAGAACGTTTCACTGCAGTTGGTGCACGTATTCCTAAAGGTGTTCTTCTCATTGGTCCTCCTGGAACCGGAAAGACTCTTCTTGCCAAGGCAATTGCTGGAGAAGCAGGTGTCCCATTCTTCTCCATCTCTGGATCTGAGTTTGTTGAGATGTTTGTTGGTGTTGGTGCTTCTCGAGTTCGTGATCTCTTCAAGAAGGCCAAGGAGAATGCTCCTTGCATTGTATTTGTGGATGAGATTGATGCAGTTGGACGACAAAGAGGAACTGGAATTGGAGGAGGGAATGATGAGAGGGAACAAACCCTTAACCAGCTTCTGACTGAAATGGATGGTTTTGAGGGAAACACTGGTATCATTGTAATTGCAGCAACCAACCGTGCAGACATTCTTGACTCTGCCTTACTCAGACCTGGGCGCTTTGACAGACAGGTTAGGATGAATCTGTCAATGGTTCCTTGTAAACATACATATCCAAAAAAATGGTTCCTTTTATTATGCTTTGGTTAYTTTTTATTATGTAGTAAATAATCTTTGTAGAATACTATTGCAGGTAACTGTTGATGTTCCTGATGTACGTGGAAGGACAGAGATCTTAAAGGTACATGCCAGCAATAAAAAGTTTGATGGAGATGTTTCTCTTGATGTGATAGCCATGAGAACACCTGGTTTTAGTGGAGCAGACCTTGCAAACCTCTTAAATGAGGCTGCTATATTGGCTGGTCGTCGTGGTAAGACTGCAATCTCATCTAAGGAGATCGATGATTCAATTGATAGGATTGTGGCTGGAATGGAGGGAACAGTTATGACAGATGGGAAGAGCAAAAGCTTGGTGGCATACCATGAAGTGGGCCATGCCATATGTGGGTAAGCATCGATCAAATTTTCACAATCATAGTTAGATTTCATCCTATTTTCTGGGTTTTCCCCTATTTTACTCTTGGCTGTGCCTTACTGGACCCAGGGCCTTTGAACAAGTCTCTTGTTTCCTGACTTATGGTTCTACCCAGATAAAACTGCTTTCTTGCCTTCTGTAGAGTGATTTTAATTATTTTTTGGATGTTGGGTTATTATCCAAATACTTAGATACTGATTGTGGGTTCTGATGCTTAAAGAGGATTTGCATATTACAGATTACAATGGAAGGTACTTAATCTCTATATTTTTCTGTCCTATATATAGTTCATCTTTATTCTGTTTTTAGCCATATGGTAATCATTGTGGATATAGTTTTGATGCCAAAAAAATAAAAGAAATGTAATGGCTTAAGACATTTGGATTGGTTAAGTTTAATATTATGACAATAAGCAAAGAATTGGCATTAGGCAGACACATGACAGTTTCTGTTTTGCTTGTAAAATGCTTGAGAAGAGGCTAAGTATCTGTACTTTTCTGTCTGAGGTATGACTTATGTTTAAGTAATTATACCAAGATGGGATGTACGATGAATATGGTTTTATTACAAGGTATTCTTGAAGTCTAAGATATTTATTTTATCAGTTAACGTTCATTATTTTATTCTAATATCTCATTCCTGTCTCTGCATTTGCCTCTGGATCTTCCGCTGAGAKTTGGTAAAATTAGGACTAGAATTTGGACAAGTATCAAAATAAAAAATATATACAGAGCAATTAAGAAACCTATAGATAATCTCATCCAAGAGAGTGGTGTATGGCACAATGACCATATACTTTAAAGCTAAATTTGCCCCAAGTTCATGCAATTTCCCCTTGGTTGGAACCATTCAATTAATTTTGAGGCTCAGGCTTCTCAAGCTCATTGAAGATCTAATTTTTGGTTGCGTTAAGACCCGTGACCTTCTATTGTATTTGATTCACTCGCTCAATTCTGTATCTCTGGTGCATTAGGTGTCATACTTGCACCTGAATTCCTCCTTTTTAATGGTACAGTCTTTCTATTCCAAGCTTAATGTGTAAAGAGAAAGTGGACTTGTTTTCATTAGTCTTGCAATGTCCTCTTTATTCACATTGATGACTTGCTGAAATATCTAGATGGAGAAGTCAATACGTTCAAAGCTTTTGCAAGCATTATCAGTTTTTTTTTTTTTATCAATAACAGAAACTTTATTAAGAATTAWGAAGCTTTARGTACAAAAAAGGGGGAGATAAAGAGTCTTATCTCCCCATCAGAAAATTACAATGAAAGAAGATTAAAAAATAGCCTCCCTATTCACCCCTTGCTTGGCCAACCCATCTGCAAAAGAATTAGCAGTCCTTTTCACCCAGCTGTATTGGGTGGCTTAATAACTAATTTAGTAATAAATTTCCATGCAGGTTTTACTGATTATAGTTAACTATGATGATTAAACACTTGATCAAGAAGGGCAGTGATTTGCCCTTTCTTATGTGGCTTAATAACTTAGTTATGCCGAAAGGAACTTAATTAACTCAAATGAACTTTTAACTGTTAGTTGTTTCTTCCACAAGTTCTTATATAAGGCCACAGAAATCATGTTTGTAAATTGGTTATCTATTTGCAAGGAGACTTGTATTTTAAGCAACTAATATATTGTTATTTGTCATTCTCATAGAACATTGACACCAGGGCACGATGCTGTGCAAAAGGTCACACTAATCCCACGTGGGCAAGCACGGGGACTTACTTGGTTCATTCCTGCGGATGATCCAACCCTGATCTCTAAGCAGCAGCTGTTTGCAAGAATTGTTGGTGGACTTGGTGGCAGAGCTGCTGAGGAAGTGATCTTTGGTGAGGCTGAGGTGACCACTGGTGCAGCTGGAGACTTGCAGCAAATCACAGGTTTGGCAAAACAGGTAATTTAATAAGTTATACTATTCTTTTAACTGAAACTAGTTCTTGAGTTCAAGTACTGTTTTCTTTTCTTATAGTTAATTTTTAATCATATTCACCAAACTGAATTTGTTGTCTTATGCTTTAACTTACAGATGGTAACTACATTTGGCATGTCTGAAATTGGCCCATGGTCACTTATGGACTCGTCACAAAGTGCAGATGTAATAATGAGAATGATGGCAAGGAATTCAATGTCAGAGAAGCTTGCAGAAGACATTGATGCAGCTGTTAAGCGAATCTCAGACAGTGCATATGAGATTGCATTGGTCCATATTCGGAATAACCGTGAGGCCATTGATAAGATTGTAGAGGTCCTTCTTGAGAAGGAAACCCTGAGTGGGGATGAGTTCCGAGCAATTCTTTCAGAGTTTGTGGAAATCCCTGCTGAAAATAGGGTCCCTCCTTCAGTGCCATCTCCTGTCACTGTATAAACCATTTATAAACTGTAAATCTCAATTACACCCTTTCATGTTTCATATTGATCTGCGGTTGATTGACCAATTCCATTGTTATCTGAGTTTCAATGTATACTATGTATAAGTTTCAGCAACTCCAAGTTAGATTACAGGTATAGGTGCATAGAATATTTACTAATTCAAATCCTTATCACATCATTTGTTTAAAGCAAATGTAATCTTTTGTTCTGATATTATCTGCCATAGAAATCTAAACTATTACGTGGTTTTGACATCAATATTTACTGGATGACATTAGTTGGGAAAAACCTGTTTCTTTTTTATTCTTACTGTACAGAAATTCTGTTTGAGATCAAACATGATCCCATAATTTTAAAAAAAAAATTGAAAAAAATGAAAAATGAAACCCTACTAATCATTCTGCCAAAAAACGGTTTATGAAGAGCAAGATCAAACATCTCCCAGGAGGGATAAAATATGCATTGATATTGTTTGTTGCAGTAGCGTCCTCGAAGATTATCTTGACATTGATGAATATCAGAATTTGGTGGAAATTGTTAAAGAGAAACAAGTGCAATTGCCAAATGGTGACAGGGAAAGGCTGTATATGCTGCAATAACAACTAAAGGCATTCCGACAACTTTCATTTATTGTTCAACCCACAGAGCATAGTTGATTACCAATTGAATACAAAGGAAACAAGCTATTTAGTCCGCTTTAGGATCAATAGAGTCTAAAAGAAACACAGATGCCTTCGGTGGATTTCCAAAACTGTATATCAGTTACACTTAAACCCATCAAAGGCGACTGATATTCTTGTTAACCGGGAACAGGATCGAGTGTCAAATGGTGCGGGGAGGGATCATGATTCATGTCCCAGAATGATGGGACCCATCGTTAATAAAATTTGATGATTTGTCGATCACAAATAACTTGCCTTGTGGAGCCCTGGAAACATCAACATCATCCATGCCTTATCGTAATTATAGGCAGTCGATTAAAATGGACCGAAGGGGTGTTCACTTTTTGGATTTTGAGAGGAGAGAAAGTCGGTAAATAGGATTGTTAAAAAATTCATATTATTTTTTCCTAGGTATCAAGTTGTCATACTACGAAAATACCACTTTTAATAATGAATTTGTATAGTTAAAATGATCATTGTCTCTTAGGGGTATTTATGTATTTTACTTATGAAGGGGAGAATAATGACATAAATTCCCCCACAACTAGTTTAGGGGGACTTTTTGGGTAAAGTTATAAATATCTTTATAATAACAAAAATACCCCTCCGTTTTTAGGGTATTTTGGGCAATTGAATCATTTTCAATTCCTATAAATAGCACAATCCTCCACCATTCTTCTCATCACACCAATTCAACAATTCTCTTAATCTTTTCCTTCTCTCTCATGTATTCTCTGCAATCTGAGTGAACTCTGATAGTCTGATTGGCTGATTATCTGATTCTCCAAGTTAGCAATTTGGGAGGCTTAGAGTCTTGGACGTTGAAAGGCTTTAACTATTGAAATCAATTTGGGATTCTAAACAGGCAATCCGGGGTAAGTCCAATTAAATTAATTTTATTTTTTTAGAATTAAAAAAAATAGTCGGCTCTTTCCAAAACCCCAAATTTAGTAGCTCGATTTGGCAAATATTTAAAATAGAGGATGTTGAGGGGAAGAGGAAAATAACAGTTTACCAAAAATGTAGAAAAGACTTTAATTATTGTAGCAAGGGTGGTATTGGCCATTTGAGTAGACATTTTCTCACACATGAGAAGGAAAAAGAAATAACCCACAATTTAAATGAATTGTTGAAATAATGGAAAATAAATTTTAAAAATGTTGGGAGAACATTTCTCGCCGTCATAGCACGTGATCCATGATCTACTAACCCCTTCAGTGTCTACAGGCTACAATTCCATCGGAGTCTTATTTAGTTGTTTTAGTGCAGGTACCACTATACCAGGATTGGCTAGATGCAGTCATGATGCAGAATATAGATTACAACTTTACAATTACAAGACAAAGGAGGGCATGATACTACTACATGCACCGGATATTTCACCTGAAGCAGCAGATGATAAAAGTCATGATTCATGAACAATAATTGACTAGTTGTATAGAATTTTTTATTTTTTTCAAATTATTGTAAATTTTGTTTTAATTTTATTTAATTTATTTGCTATTAATGTAATTTTGTATTTTCAATTTGTAAATATATTGTATTTTTTATATTTTATTAATTTATTCCATTTTCATATTTTATTCATCCAAGTATGAAGTATCCAAACATTGTATATTTCAATATTTGTATGCTTTATAATTTGTATTATTATTCATTTAAATTTAAATGAAATAAAATTTGTTTTATTTATTTATTGGTAATTGTAATCCATTCAGTCTAGCCTACTTCGGCCCAAACCCACGGCACAGCCTGGGCCATGTCGGGCCAACCCCCAGAATTTTCACCGGGGAAGGCAGCATGACCCGTGCCGRCCCGCACTTTGCGCGGATTATCCACAGGCCGGCCCGGCCCACTTTACACTTTTACCTGTAACTTACCGAAAAGTGAACACTACCAAAAATTGGAAATGCAGGGGATCGAACCCTGTACCTCTCGCATGCAAAGCGAGCGCTCTACCATTTGAGCTACATCCCCTTATTAAATAAAAWTTGATTCAATGAATCTATAATGGCTAATCGAACACTTATGTTTCTGAATTTTCAAATCAGATGACATCATCATATCAAACAAATGAGCGTATTAACAGGTCAAAGTAAAGCTTACCACCTTACACACTAGCAGATAGATCGAACTTTGCTCATACAGGTGATATATATTAATTAGCTTCCTCATGGATCACTGCATTGTAGCAGGAAAGCATGATCCACTCAAATCTCATACAAAGCCCCCATTTGGTGCACATCTGGCCATTGGATTAGAGATGTTCTACAGATGTTCCATGAAACGTTGGACCAATTGACTCTTCAACCGAACCTCTCTTTTTTTAACAATTTATACATGAAATCTTATCCCGCTGTATAAAACCTTTAGATTCCCTTTGTTCCAAAGAGATGCAAATCGTTGCTTTCTTAGCCTTTAGAGGTTGGCCTAGAAGAGGAGACTGAATCAACCCCCCACAACATCCTTGTTGTGTATTGAGAACATCTACCGATGATGACATCATTATTCTGGTATTATCATCGGGAGATGTTCCCAATACACGGCGGGGATATGCTATGGGACGTTGTGGGGGCAGTCTTGTGGGGGCTGATTTGAACCCCTAGTGGAGAGGAGATGAAGCGGGGGATAGAGAGAGAATTTGGAAGAGTAGGATTTGCAACCAATTCTTGCTTCCAACTATTAAAAATTTAAAATCTACATGCAAACTCAGAATAAAAAACGAGATTAAATGAGACTACAAAAATTTGAACTTTAGAATTGGTACAACACCCAAAGGAATTGTTCTGTAAAGTGCATCCTATTTAGAAATGGAACGAATTATCAGATCCATACTTGCTCCTGAAGTTGAAATGATCAAATTTTGGATCGTCATAGTCTACCGGTTTCATCTCAACAGGTTTTGGATCTGGCCCAACAGCTCCAAAAACTACCTCCCCACTTCTATCACGGTGGCGATGTCTGATTTGTTCTTTCTGACTCTTGGAACTTAACTGGCCAAACGTAGAAGTTTCTGTTGAGCCATAGAATTGTGCATACTCCTGTCGCTTTGATGATCGATGCTTGCTTAGTGAAGGATCCCTTAAACTGGCTGATTTACTTTTTTGAAGTTTCTGCTCCGTACCCACATTTGGAGTAGGGATCTGTCGTATTTCAGAGACGGGGGTAGTGCTTTTCTGCTTCTGCACCACTGGAGAATCAGCTTTATCTTCAGGCATCACTAGAGAGTCTCTAAGTGGAGTAAGATCTTTCTTCGACCTCCCTGGCCAGAGACTGGCAGGGATGAAGTAAAGGAAGATACTTCCCAGGGCTTCAACTGCAAGTTTGGATAAATCAATGAGAAGTCTCCCAAAAGATGGCCATCCAGCATCAGGTTCTTCTTTTAGACTCTCTGCAACTGGAGTAGGTTTCTCCTTTGTTGATTGATCTTGCATCTTACTCTCTGAGGTTTGTTGCTGCATYGGCACAGGAAATGGATTTCACAACCTTGTGTTACAAAGCTAGAAAAATAATCAATGGAAATATCTTAAATACACCATATTGTTACTAAAACTGATCATGAATCTTGCAAATCCCAAAACCAAGGCCACCAGGACTATATGATTACCAGAGAGTAATTACCATATGATATTAGTTATAATGGTTCCTAACAAGTTCAATAAGCAACTACTGCACTGGTTCCTGTGGCAACCAGTCAATATCATCCCCCAATTGCAAGACCATTTTCACCATATGGTCTTGAACCCATGGGGTGAGAAATTTTATTGTTCATAGCACACTAGACCAACAGTATCAGAGTATCAGACAGACAAATACAAGATTATTCAAGATAGACGCCTTTGACAACTAACAGAGAAAAGCATACTTGGAACCCAACTGGCCCACTCCACACAACTCATAATTGACAAAACTTGGGCTGCTTATTTAACTTTTATAAATAAATGGGTGTTTTCCAAGTACTTAGAATTTCCAAGTGCTTAGAAGTTAGAACAGGATCTGTTGATCATATGGTTGCACAAATGGTGTAGAAGAACTGCAGAGTATGGAACTTACCACCCTTGAGAAAATAGAAGGTCCAAATCCTTGCTGAATCATACACAATGTATATCCAACCAATACAGCACCAATAACCATGACAATATCTGCCACAAGTAATCCAAATAAAATATCAATGAGCATCTGCAACTTAATTAGGCACCTTGATGATGCTTTTATTGTCTACATAGTTGATTTCCAGACAACAATTCTCTTTCAATGACCAAAGCAATTTAAAAAGGTGACATGACTGAAACAAAAAAGGCGATGATGTAGAAGCAAGGACTATGTTGATTGCTAACATAAAGACCAAATTTCTAGCCTATAGCACTAGTAATAAAATCTCTCCCAAGTGATAACTTCAGCTACCCCACAAATGACATCTTGGTAATCAGCAAAAAGGACTAACGCCAATTCAAAGTTTGGTCCATCGATAATAAAATTTAACTCGTAAACCAGACTCAATCAAAGGACAATACCAATCCAAGAAACAATAATCATGATTAATACTGAAGAATAAAAAGTGTTCAGTCTATTCTTATGTTAATTCTCASAGTCAAAGGAACAGAATGTGAATGTCAACCCCTAATATACAGTAAGCAAGACATGGACATGGACTCCTAGAGCTACCTAATTCCCAGATTGACCAACTGTGACCTCTAGTCCAGGACCAAGGTTTTCAACCTGTCGTTGACCCAGCTAGTGGAATTGCTCAACCCACCATGGCCAGGTTTCTGTACCCATTTATCCCCTGACACTTGTTTAAAAAAAAGCATTGACTTAGTCAATGACCCAGTGACCCATCTGATTGAACTGCAGAGCTGTTTGACCAAATCAGCAAGTCACGGGTAAGAAGACATCAAATATATTTTTCTGTATCTTTTGCCATTTCCATCATTAATAACAATAATTCTCATTTACCACACTTATTTTTGTTTAGTATGATAAATATATTAATATAATATTAGAGACATGCCCAGTTTTTCTACAAATTTTCAGTAATTTATCTATTTTTATATTTTATTACATGAATTATGATGTTATGGGTTGGCCAATTCAAACAATTGAACTGCCAACCTGCCACCCAGAGGGAAAAGCAGTTCCATTTCTAGGTCATTTTTTAAAACATTGTCCAGGACTTGTTCATTCTATTACAGAAGACTAAAGACTTCACAATCTCAACATCAATCTTTTTCTCCCACTGTCCCACACAAGTCTCCTTTAGTCTCTATTCACCAGTTAATCAAAGAGGGAGATGGCCATGGTAGAAATAATGCAAGTGCTTGGAAAGAAAATAGTATCTAGATGCTTGTCTTCTGACAAGGATAAGCTTAAAATTTTAAATTAGAGCCCAACAGTTCTACATGTAGGAAGAAAACTATGATTTCCTTGGTACTGAAAGCTTTTCACTAACATTTGTATTTGACTTTTCATTTTTTGTTTATTGAAAATTTATCTCTATTACTAAAAAAATAAAGGAAGAAACCTATCTTTACATGAAAAAGCTTCACTTAAGTCTCCAATTTATTGTTTGCCTCGTAATCTAGTTAGGAAGTACCTTATCCAGCTGCTCTCCACCTCTGCCAGTTGGATGTTAAAAGGCATTTTTCATGTTATCCACAAGAGCATATATGCATGACTCAACTTTGTCATCAAATTTAGGTTTTTCAAACTAAAAATAGAAAAGCACAAATATACAGATAAATATTAAATTACAATAAAAGTAAGTTTGTTTTGTCCATATGACATGACTATTTATTTTATACAATAAAAGCACAGTGGCACAGCCTTTTACATCAATACTAAGATAAAAAGTAATCTTTTATAGTTGTGGAAAAAAACATGCTCCCTACCCCTATAGGGCGGGGAGAAAGGAAGCAACAGCCAACACTGGCAAACACACGTCTTAAGAAATAGAACAATGAAACTACTACATTTCAACAAAGTTGTCCCCCAAAATAAAAAGTTACTCCATGCACCTCTCTGGCCAAACCATCTGCAAAGAAACTAGAAATCCATTTGAATGTGCTAATTGTCTTCATCTCCTTCATAATTTGTAAGTCCCACAGGCTATCAGATAATGAACATATTCATGCCATGACCACCACAGAATCCTCCTCAACATCTATCTCCTCTCTCCAACGGGACTGGAAAATGTAATTATCACCTCCAATCTGTAATACTCATAGGCTCCACCAGCTGCAAATGATCCTATGTAGAATAGACAAACCTCATTAAAATTGAGTTCCATTTGTCCTTGTGAAGAAGGTCTCTTACTGATCCAAGAGAGAGAGATCTTTCTGACAAGGCCGTCTATGATGGGACTACTTTTGGGGCCTCAAAGACTCACCTGAACTCATCACTTGCCATAACCCAATGGGCTACTTTTACTTTCACCAAATCAATGATGATTTTTAAGACATCATTTTCCATACTCTCCTTTTTTATTGAGAATCTTGGTTATTTTTAAGTACAGAATTTAATGGTCTAAGTCACTCTCCAAGCTATGATACCCATATACCTTCACAGGGGTGCTGTGCCGTGTCAGATGCTTTAATTTTTAGTATAGATTCCATATCCAACATCTTTTCCAGATGTCTCCTTGTCATATCTGGGTAACATAATCTCCATTCTCCAAACTATCTTCCCTACAACTACAAGGTGCAAACAGTTCAACAGAGAATCTGGAACAGCCTATACTCAAATTTGTGGACCAATTAATTGGATATCAGTCCAACATAAATTTGAAGAGAATTACAAGTTTGTCCTGCCTGGTGTGATTCCACCAAGACACTGATTAAAAAAAATGAAGGTGTATCTGTTTCTTCTTCAGTAAGAGAAGTCTGGCACCTAATCAATGATGTTAACTTTTTTCATTTTCTGGAAGGAGATAAGTTTATTTATAAAAAAAAAATAAGCATCTATCCATATAAATATACAAACCTAATATCATCCTGGACACAGCACAGGAGATCACTGGGAAACATCTCACATGAGAAAAAATCTCCCCAATGGATGAGCAAAGCTTAGCTAGAAAGTAGGGGAGGCAATCAATCAGGTTTGGCATTGAGTTGGGCTTAACCTGAAGCCGACCTGACTTGATTTCACTCCAGCATGTGAATAGAGCAGAGTGGGGGAGTGATAAGACATGTATGTATGCAAGGGAAAGAATAAGTAAAATATAATCATAGTTGTCAGGGCACCACCTAGGCAACAAGGCGCTCACGGAGGGCCATCTTGCTTAATCACCAAAATATTTTTTACACGGTACTATCCTTAGGCTGTTCGGTATGGAGGAAAATAATGGACATTCTCCCCATTTTCAGTAGAGGCTTAAGCCCCAATATTGGGAAGGGTGACAGGCTGTCCTTCTGGAAAGATCCCTGGTGTGGAAACACTCCCCTTTCAGAGTTATTCCCACATCTATTTCAGTTAGCAGACCACCAAGATGCAGTGATTTCTGAATGTTTTGAAGTGGTGGGGAACTCAGTAGCCTGGTAACCTTCTTTCAGAAGGAATTTTCAGGATTGGGAAATTCCTGCTCTGGCTGATCTACTCGATCTGCTCTCCCTTCAACCCCTAAATCTGCTCAAAGAAGACAGCTGGTCCTGGACTTGGAGTACAGATGGCCTCTTGTCAGTCAAGTCATTTGCCACTCACATGACAATGAGTACTTCAGAAGTTATGCCTGCTTCCAGAATCTGGAATCTAACCTCTCCCTCAAAAATCAATGCCCTAGTGTGGGCTGCAGTTCTAGACAGGTGTTTAACTAAAGCCCACCTATGTGTGTGTTATGTAGTCAAGGAGTGGAAGATAGCAGTCATCTGTTTCTGCACTGCTCAATATCTGCTAGAATTTGGAATCATTTTCTTGGTTCGGTGGGTCTTGCCTGGTCAATGCCAGCTTCGGTGAAGGAGATGTTGTGGAGCTGGGGATTACAGGGATTGTCAAAGCTTGCTTCAGTTGTGTGGATGTCCATTCCAGCTGCAATCATCAGTACCATTTGGGCAGAAAGGAACAAAAGACTAGTTCAGAATATCTATAAGGATCCGAAAGACCTATATCTATTTCTTTTGGAAAGCTGATTTCTTGGGTCTCGGCTTCAAAGGGAATTCAGGCTGCTCAATTGGGGGCTAGGCTGAATTCTAGGAGCCTATGGCATCTGTAATTTTGCTATGTTTGGGCTGTTTCCCCATCTAAGGTGTAGTTGGGGGGTCTTTGTACTAGTATTTCCTATCAATAAAAATTACATTACCTTTTCTCAAAAAATTATATAGTTTAAGTTAAAATAGACATTCTTGTTCTTTCACTTTTCTTTTCTTTTCTTCATTGCCTAAGACAAAAATAGAGGCCCAGCCCCCCCTTTTTTTTAAATTCTATTATTTCTTCCATTTTATCATGAATATGTTGATTTCCTATGTTTCAAATGAAGCTTATAAATTTTTTATGAAGATTATAAACAATTAATGGTAAAAGGTGGTTGCTTCTTGCTACAGAACCAAAGGAATTTTCCTAGAATTCATGGTTCTTATTCAAAAAAAAAAAATCACCAATCCTTGCCTCAACACCTTGAAAACTATGCCTCTAGGGTCCATTATCTTACTTTGACAATCAAGAAATACAAAGATAGCTTAACATGTGGAGCAATGGGTCACATGATCACAACACTTCTTTTGACTTTCCAATGAAACACAACGTGCTATCAACCAAATCACCCAGTGACCGCTTGCCTAGGTGATTTGGTTTCTATATGTTCACATGGTCACAAAACCTGCTTGCGATCATTTAATGAAACACAGACATGCTATTAATCAAATGAAAAACCAAATTATCCAGTGAGTGCATCCTATTGTCAATACCTCAAATGGCACACTAACAACCCCCTAACATATGAGAAAATAGAGATTGCCTCTAGGATCTACTACCTTACCATGAAATTTAAAAATATCAAGGTAGCATAACATGCTGAGTGATTAGTTCAAATGACCACAACACTTTCATGCAACCCTTCAATAAGACAAAAACATGCTATCAATCAAATAAAAAAACAAAATCACCTAGCGAGTGCATCTAATATCTTATGCATGCCTGGGTGATTTGGTTTCAATGTGTTCACATGGTCACAACACTTTATTGCAACCCTACAATAAAACACAAAAATGCTAACAATCAAATGAAAAATCAAATCACCAAATAAGGTCATTCCTTTTTCCTATGCCAAATGATACAAGAACCATATGAAAAAACAGAGACTACCCCTAAGGTCTACAGTCTACTACCTTACTATAACAATCAATAATTGCCAAAGGTAACCTAATATTGTTGTGAACATGTGATGTGTTCACATAGTCAAAATATTTTCTTGTGACCTTCCAATAAAACACTACTTGCTATCAATCGGAAGAAAAACCAAATCACCTACTTGGTGCATGTTTGGGTGATTTGATTTCGATGAGTTCACATGGTCGCAACACTTTCTTGTGACCCTCCAACAAGTCAAAAGCATGCTAATAATCAAATTTAAAACCCAATCACTTTGTCAGTGCATGCCAAGGTGATTTGGTTTCAATTAGTCCACACAGTAAGATTACCCAGTGAATGCATCTAGTTGTTGCTACCCCAAGTGATACATGAACTACCACTATCATATGATAAAATGGAAACTACCTCTAGGATCCACTACCTTACTAGGAATATCAAGAAATACAAATGTAGCCTAACATATGGAGCAATGAATTCACATAATCAATAACACTTTCTTATGGCCTCTAAAAAACCTAGACATGCTATAAGTCAAAGAACAAACCAAATCACCCAAGCCAATGACTGCATGTCTGGGTGATCTGGTTTTCATGAGCTCATATAGTCACAACAATGTCTTGTGACCATCTGATAAAACACAAACATGTCGCTATCAATCAAATGAAAACTAAATAGCCCAATGAAGGCATGTTCATTATTGCTGCACCAAATGATATAAGAACAACCTACTATCATATAAAATAAAAGCTATCTCTAGGATATATACCTAACTATGACAATCAGGTATTACCAAGGTAGCTTAACATGTAGAGTGACACTTAAGCGATAAGGCTTTCATGAAGGGTCACCTAATTTAATCGCTAAGTTTACATGGTGCTCTTGGATACTTTTGTATTCTTAACTTTTTGAAATTATAATAATAAAAGACATTTTTAAACTAAATTGTTCAGTTTAAGTTAAATACTAGTTTCTTTTTATTATTTTTCTTATTGTCTTGAACCCTCAAAGACTTCAAAACCTGAACCATAAGCATTGGAAGAATTCAAAATTTTGTCCAATCAACACATTGATCTTCTTAAGATGGTTGTTGCTTACAGTAGAACCTAAGGAATTACAATAGGATTCATGGTTGTTATTCAAAAAATAAAAATTAAAAAAAAAAATCTCATCACCTAGGAAACTAGGCAGCAATGCGCCCCCTATCACCTAGCCTTGCATTGGTGCCTTGAAAACTATGATAGGAAGAAAAGGCAAGAGCACTTGAAATCTACATACAAACAATTAAAATCTTAATGGCATAATAATACAAGGGTTGTGCATGCCACAACCTGAACCTGACCCAAACCATCAAGGTTGAAATTTTACAACTCAAACCCAACACTAACCTAATTAGAGGCACACACCTTAGACTCACTCTTCTAGTGATACTTCAAATCCAGACAAGTTTTAGAGAGGAGCATATCATGTAACTAAACTGGAACAAAATCAATATCTAAACATAAATTTGATAATTTCAATAGTTAAACAGGTGACAAGCTAGGGAGCACAGCCCAACTCCCTCCCTGGCTATAGCTACCACTACCGCATTACATCTAAACCTTGTTCCAAATCTTAATTATTTGTTTAGACTAGAAATGTTTGTTCACATGGATATCAAATTATTTCAGCTTCTTCTTTTATGTGAAAATGCACCCAATCTACAATCAATTGCCATCCTTGGACATAAACAAACCATCTTAATTACTTATAACCTATCAGTCACTCCTAGGTTCTGCAGGATGCTCTTTTTTCAACCTTGATTTTCAAATATCTTTTCTAGTTTTATGCTTTAATATAAACCCATTCAAAGGTGCATTTTTTTATCAATTGCACAACTTCCTGCTTCATAAAGAATAAGTAGTCACTGTCCAATATAATTTGGTCTTAAGTCTAATTGGCATGCAAAAATTGAATAGTACTCCATTAGGACATCCCTGTTCCATTTTTTTACGTTTATGGTAGTAGAGCTAAGAGAAGAGTATATGATCTCGTTCATGTATCTCTATACCATTGATATTAACAACCACTCATCTCTATACTTTTTTTTGAAATAAAAAAAAAAGAAAAAAAAAAGATAACTGGATTTCATTAATTATTATACAGTATCATCCTTATAAGACTGACACAGAAAAGTTTCTTTAACCATTCAATGTCGTCTTAACTTTCAAATAGAAAATAAAAACCAACAGTGTGGAGTTCGAACCTAAAGCGGTAATTGAGTCATTCTGGTAATCACAATCCTCTTGGTTGAGAGAAATTTGCCGAAGAGCAGCATTTCCTCTATCAACAACTAACAAGGAACAAGTAGGCCGCAGATACACCACATCAAAATCATTTGAGAATTTTGCATCCTCACTGGGCCCATCTCTGTACCCTGCAATACTTGACTTCCCTCCTGCAATAGTTGTCACACCTGCAAAGAATTCCAAATTTAATTAGCATTCTTTTGTAGGGAAGAAGAATCAAGAATGAAGTACCCTTTTGTATTCCTTTTCAGTTATGTGTCAACCTAACTATCAAAAAAAGGTTATACATCAACCTGTTCAGGTGCCACACAAACCTGATTCTCCGATCTTCCTGATGGCAAGATTAGAGGTATCTGCAACATACACGTTCCCTTTATCGTCCATTGTAACACCTTTTGGATGATTAAAACGAGCATCGCTTGGTTTCCCATCTACATGCCCTGAGTAACCCTCAAATGACCCAGCAACCAATCTAGCCCTGCTATCTGCACAACCAGTACCAAATTTAATTCGCAATGAAACAAATGCACTTTTATGGTTTAGCAAGGCAAAAAATTGTAGCTGGTTCATTCGGTAGGCACATTAGATAGTAATTGAAAGTGTTTATAGAATGGATGAAACGGCACCAAATTAAACCCCTCTAATCTAACAGATTCCAGGCCTAATTGCTCTGGATTACAAGAGGAAAGAATATTTGCAACTACAAAGGAACTAAGAGATTTCAGCTGAGTAGGATAAAATAGAGGGCCTACACTGAGACAACGGTGGAGTTATCCGAACAATATTGCTATTGACAGCATCAACTGCAAAGAGTTCACCATCCTGGGAGACACGGATGGAATGTGGCGATACCCCAAGCTCTCTCCCTTCCACGACAGTCTCAACCAAGTAACCATTCTCAAACTGGACAACGTTCCCATCTGTTCGGAAGCAACAACCGACAACAGTTTCAGTTTGCACAGATGCCCATAAAGGGAAACCTTCATATAATCACAAAATAATCATGTGGATAAAACTGAGCAGAAATTCTTCTTTCGACCAACCTGTTTGAGGTGTTTTCTGGGATGACCTCGTCCATTTGAGAAAAGATGATAAATGTTTTATTAAGTTCACTAAGAGGACAGAAAAAAAAAATAGAAGACTATATCAGAGGAGCAGAAAAGAAGCACACCCATTTGCCAAGTTGATCAACCCAACCTATGAGAAATTATCAAAAAAAAAAAGGAAAAAAGAGAAATGGGTTTCTTAAATATAACCTGTAGGAGCAGCTCCGGCTTGAAACAGGAGAAGATTAGTAACGAAGAGGGCTAAGCAAAAAGGGTAAAATCCAGATTTTCCCATGACCCTCTCCAATCCAAGCAGCCTAGCAATATTATTAAGAACCGTCAAAAAAAGAGATTTAAATCTCTAAATCATGAGAGGAAGGAAGAGGAAGCAGTAGGCGTTTTGCAACTGGGTTCAGACTGGTCAGTGGTGGTTTCTGTATAAGTTAAGAGTGAAGACTAGCTGGATTTCTTTTGTTGGTTTGTCACTTTTCCATTCTACGCTACTTTCTCCTGTGAAAAGAAATGCATTTTAATGGCCAAGGGAAAGGCTTGCGTTTGAATTATGCGATTCCATTAATAAGAGGTGATCTCGATAAAAGCGAGAAACAGAAATCTCCACTTTTGATCGAAATTCCGAAACCGTTCAAGTTACACCACACGGCACACGCGCTGCTTATAGAGTAAAAGACAGGCCGGATCTCGTCAAAACATTGGTTTTTCGTCAGATAGTGGTCCATGGGTCTAACCCAGTAATTAAGGGTGTTGTGTGGCTTGACTCCACACTCCAGCCATTTCAAGGATGGTACTTACACCCTGGTGATTGGTGGGGGCATTAAAGACCAAAGATCGCATACAAAACACAGTAGTCAGTACTCATTAATGTTGGGTCATTGCTTTTAGGCAAATTTGGGTCTGGCTACTGAATACGTGACCAACTCACGGTTTGTGGCTAATTGTAGCGGAATGTTGTTGTAGGTGTTTGGCAAGGTGTTCGGAACACCGCACACTTTTTTTGTAAAAACGGTATGGGCATGTGTGAGTTGTAAGTACCATTTTCTCATAAAAGATGCTTATTTTTTGTTTGGAAGCAGTGCTATCACGTAGGTTGTTTTTTAGGAAAACATCATTGCATCGCTGGTAGCAATGGATTGTTTTATGAGAAAATATCAAATTTAGCGTTGCTTCATACCATACTTTTTCAATTTTCAATGTATGGTTTGAAACAACAATTTTTCTGAAAACGGTATCAAATAAGAGGTTGTTTTCTGAAGCACCATTTTTTTTTGATGTGACACCATTTTTTCAAAGAACGGCATCGATGCCAAACACGTGATCTAATCCCATTCCCACTGGGTTGGAAGGGTTATAGGCAAGGTTTAAAGTATCAATACGTATCAACCCAATGAGTCATTTATGTGTGAAATAAGAAAAACTAAAAAAGAATAAGATGAAAGTGTGTTGATACAAAGTCGAAATGGTTATGGGCAAGGTTTAAAGTAATGAGAGTGAGTAGAGGGTGCTTAAGATTAAAAATATGGGTGAAGACTAAAAATGTTTCCAAGGTCTTTGTTAAGTATTTTGAGAATTTGTTTTCTTCTTCAAACCCTTGGACTTGAGGAGGTTTTGAATTATATTAACAATTTCATTTCGACTAAGGAAGCAGTTGACCTCGAGAAAGATGTTTCTAAGAAGGAAATTAAGGAGCTTGGATCACATGCCAACAAAACATGTTACAACACCCTACCAATATCATCTAACACCGTACATCAAATACATGACAGTCCCACTTTTATGGTGGACCTCGATTTCATAGTGACATGTGTGGTGTCAGTTCAAGKTGGTAAGGTGTTGGAACATGTTTTGTTGGCAAGAGATTCCAACTCAAAATCAAGGGCTCTACCCCAAATGTAGCCAAGAAAGGCTTCAAGTCATGATGACTATCCCAACATTTTCCATCAAAATTTGTGGAATATAATAGGGGAGATGTTGTTAAAAAGTTATTCAATGAGGGTTATATATTCAAGGATTTTAATTCAACTTTCAATACTCTCATACCAATCAGGGTAGATCGATATTCCTTTGCAATAAAATCTACAAGATTATCTCAAATATCTTAGTGAGCAAGCTAAAACCAAAGCTTAGCTCTCTCTCATTTCCCCTAATCAAAATGCTTTCCTCAAAGGATAACATCACAATTGCTCATCATCAATTTTTTTATTTCATGAAGTTTACCAAAGCATATAAATTGGATATGAGCAAAGCCTATAGCCATATTGAGTGGCACTTTGTGTATAGAATACTAGAGATGATGGGTTTTGGGAATAAGTGGGTCAATTGGATTATGAAGTGTATTATCTAAATGTCATGTCAAGTTTTTGTGAATGGTATTCCCAATGGAAGGTTAGGATCTCTTCCTACATCTTTCTATTCTACTATAATGTCATATCCTATATTATAAATAAGGTGGTTGATGTTCCTAGTTAGCCTAATTTAAGAGGGGAGTGAATTAGGCACTACACAATTTTCCCCCAACTAAAGCCTTCTAGAACTTATGAATGCAAGCTTTGACAGAAATGGAAGGTTGTGTGTGCTATGCAATGTGATGCAAATAGCAAAGATATAAATAAACAAGTAAACAAATTTCAAGAAAGTAAAGCATAGAAGGATTTATAGATGTTTGGCCAAACGCAAGCCTACATCCTCTCCTCAAGCAACCTCTTGAGAATTTCAATTAAACATCTAGACTTCTAGGTGTCAACAAAACTTTACAAATAGTTGGACTTGTGGGTGCTAACAAGATTTGAATGATTGAAGTTCTAGGTGTAAACTAAATCTTAGTAGTTGGACTTCTAGGTGCTAACTAGGCCTATAATGGTGTTCAAACTTGAACACAGATACAACCAAATAATAACAAGTAAAGCACTTATACAATAAACAAATGCCTCTAGAAAGGCTAATAAAAACTAATGCAATCAAACTATATTAAATGCAAGAGTATGCACAATACTACAAGCTAAAACGCTTGAAGAAATTTAAGAAAACTCATTGAAAAATAAATAAGCCCATAGGTTACTCAGTTTTTCTCATTAGTCATAACTGATTAAGCTCATATTTTTTTTCCTTTATAAAACTCTCTTACACATAATATGCTCTATTTGACATAGTAGATTTCTATTAATCAAGTTCATCGATCTTTCAATCCAAAACTAATTATTTCTAGTGGTTAAGAATATGTGATAGCTATATATCCATTGGGAATTGATTAAACTATATTTGGAAATGTTCAAAAAAGGTTCCCAACAAGATTAAAGCCTTACTATAATAGGTGATGCTGCACAATCTGGGCACTCCTAGCTGGCTGTGACTTGGCTTCTRGCTGGAACGGACAGCACCTGAGAAGAAGGAGAAGGTGAAGGGTTCCCGGGGAGTTCTCCTGGGAACACTTAAAGAAAGAATAGAGAGTAAGAGTGTTGAAAGTGCTTAAGCTTCAATACCTTTGCTTCGTGAGAGTTGGAGTTCTTTTATGTTGGAGCTCGGTCATACCTGGCATAACCACCACTACCCTAGCCGTTATTGTCAGAGCAGGTGTGGCAGACACAGGTTGCTGCTACAGACTACTATTGCCAGGTATGGACTTGACTGAYGTGCCATGCTTTTTAGAGACGGCAAACAGAACGCCGCCTAGCAAGGGATCAGAGCCCTGCCACTGGGTCCGGCAAGTACGGATGTCAAGTAGGCCTCCCCACAACCTATCGAGCTATTGTACGTCGGACTACCTGGGACAGGTTTGTCTCGGTACCAAGGTGTCAAGGTGCCTGCGTTGGAGGCGGTGCTGCCCCAAGGTGCTTCTCCCTCGGGATACTTAGCCGAAAACCGGGGTGCTCCCTTCTAGGAAGGGAGAGCTCAGAGCCCCTTAGGAAGAGATCGGGCCTCAAGGGGAGCTCGGGCCCTGGGAGGAGCTCGGGACCTCCCACACTTGGTGAGAGTCAAGGTTAGCCGGGTGTTAGTCCTCGGCGAGTCGCTTAACCCGCCGAGTGGCTAGTGTTGGACTTGGCGTGTCTCTCCCGTCGAGTCGCAGTTGTGCTGTCAGGTTGAACTGTTCATTGGGCCAGGTCACGCACATGTGTCCCCATGCTACGAGGTCGGGCCAAATCACCCTCCATCAATAGGAAATAGCTATTATACCTTCAAATGGTCTTTTTTTGCCAAGTAGTTAATTAGCACAAGCTAATAGTCAATTACTATGTACAGGGACTTTTTTCTCTAGTAGTCAACTGTTAATCAAGCGGTCCAATACAAGAATGCCCAGCCTCATTGTAAGACATAATCAACTATAGATTTTCTATAATCAACTATTGAGTAATGTGCCAGTGACACTAGCCTCGCCTATCACAGGTAGTTGACTTATGAGTGACATTAGTCTCTACTGTTAAGTTAGTCGACTACTAACAACTCTCAACCTTAGAAAATTTAAGATTTTGATTCCAAAGGTTCAGAAAAACATTTTCTTAGGTTTTTAAACTTTAGTTTTTTTACATCTAAGTTCATGAATGAATTTAAGAACACCTAAGAACTATACCTAATTCTAGTCATTGGTCTATAAAGTTAGGCCAACAGAATTTAGTCACATCTAAGCATACTAATATTTGTGTATATGCTTTGCACGCACCAAATTGTGTGATGATGATAGTATATAATATGTTTCCAAAATTTTCTACAATTTAATTTTTTATATTTCTTTGTCTATAAAATTATTCTTATTTGTCACAGTTATTACGGTTCATTAATATAGAGATATACCAAGATGTTTTCTACATAATTTATATATTTCTTTGTTTACTTTTGTGTTTTTATCTTTTTATAATTTTATTATTTAATTATAACTTCACAAGTTGACGCATTTGACATAAAATATTGAATTGATATACCACCAAATAGGAAAACAATTTGACTTTTGGGTTAATTTTGAAATTTATATTTTATTTATATCATCAATAAAAGTTAAAAATAATTCTTGTTTATCATGTCTAATTTTTAATACGATCAATGTAAAATATTATATATGTGTCCAAATATTTTCTATAAAGTTTCTATCTTTTTCATATATTTTGTGTTTTGTATTTTTCTAAATTTGTATTATTGGATTAGGAAATCAATGATTGACACATATGGCCCGAAAGGTTGAATTGTTAACTTGCCACYAAGAAAACAAATTCATTTTTTGGGTTGGTTATAAATTTTATATTTTATTTCCAACATCAATAAATAAATTATTATTTCTTTAATATGAGTAATGTATATATATATATATATATATATATATATATAAGTTTATATGTTTTTATTTTGTAAAAATAATATCTTGAATGTAGGATTTAATAAAGGAATGGGAGTTAATACCTTAACATAAGACTTAATGAGAGGGAATGGAATGAAGATAAATGTAGTACTTCAAATTACATTTTGTGTAATCACAATAAGAGAGGAACAAAATTAAAAAATAAGGGCATTCTAGTAAAAAAATGATTAAATTAATGTTAATGGGAGTTAATACTTTAAATATGAGACTTAATGCGAGGGATTTAATGAGGATAAAAGTGGTTTTTTAAATTACCTTTTCATCCTTAAAATTAAACAAGGACCAAATTAAAAAATTGGGATAATTTAGTAAACAAAAGTTCCATACCATTATTCACTCTTTTAATAACAGTATAAAAGCATCAAATGTAAAATGACACTTTTGCTATAACTTGTTTTCTAATTATTGAACAAAAGAAATACTTTTGTGTCTTTTTATCAAATAAGCATTACTAAATGAAGATGTAAAATAGCAATTGTCTTTTATTGTTTTTTATTCAAACTTTWGAGATGGGGCATTTTTTGTCCAATGAAATTCCAGAAGGCAAAGACACCTATTCACACTTTTATAGATAGTAGAAATAGTCATGCAAATGATTTACATCAAGTTCTAAAACAAGACACACAATTCAAAGTACTGGAACTTGATGCTTCTTTCCTTTCAACTCTTGATAGAAAGTCATTGTATTTGGAGAATCACTTAGTTGATTGACAGTTGCCCAACGCATTTCATTCCAAGCTTGATACTCTATAGTAGTTTGTCAAATATTATAGCTCAATAGGAGTTACTTGGAGCAACTTCATACTTAACACCACTTCATTAGTATTTTAAATGATTTTGTTATCATCAAAATACAAAAGTCGACATTTTATGATCATCAAATATATAGTGTCAAGTTGAATAGGAAATGCCTTAAATCTCACATATTTTCTTTGCAAATGATAGCTACACATTTACCGCTGTTAATTTGGAGGAAGGAAGGAAGACCATGGAGGCAATCAAGCTATATGCGTGGGCTTTTGGTCAATAGATGAATATTTCCAAATCTAAATCACTTTTAGTTCAGATTCACACCCAAGACTTCAGAAAAAATCTTGGCTAGAAGTCTTCACTTAATAAAGGTGAAAAAAGCCTTCATTTTTTTTTTTGGGGGGGGGGGGATTCCTCCAACAATAGGTAGATCAAAATGCATTCTTTTAATTCTTTTAACTGAGAGTGTTCAAAGGAAAACAAACAATTGGAAGGAACAACTTCTATGAGATCATATTGAAGTCTATTGCTATTGCAATTCCTACCCATTGCATGCCCTACTTCTTGTTGCCTAAGAGGGTGTGTGAAGACTTATAAAAAGGCTCAAAAAATTTATGGTGGGGGGGTTCAGATGGCAAAAGAAGATTAATTGGACTAGTTGGAACAAGGGTTATCATTGTGTTGATTCCACTCATATTACAAAAAGAATCAGTTTGAATGTCAAGAGTTATCAACTTATCATCCTCCTGGTGTAAGCCTAGTGGTGAGGATAAGGATAGTCCATCTCAAATATGAACCAGGGGGAAGAGGAGAGAGAAGGAAGAGGTGGTATTTTAGGTTCCAAGTCCCCCAAAATAGGTATGATGACCCCTATTTATAGTATTTTAGGTTAGTGGGTTCCAGAATTTTCCTATTAATCATTAATTCCAAATTTACCTTTGTATTCTATAATGTTTTTTGTTCAATCATTTAAAATACATATCTATTTTCTCTTACTGTTTAGTTTGGAAATAGTACAAATGCGAATATATACATTATAAATACATACAAAATAATACAAAATATAAGGTTTTGCACTCTATATATCTGCATTTGCACTCCTTCCAAATTGAGCCTATAGAATATTCTTAACTCAGTTGGATGCATCTTTGCATCTAGAATGTTCAATTCTAATTACTCAATGCTAAAGAGGACTCATACAGGGGCGGAGCTAGGATTCTTTATTGAGGGGGGTCAATGTGTAATAAATATAGATAGGGGGGCCAAAAGATAAGAAACATAGGTTAGAGGGGCAAAATATATGTGAAATTTAAATAATTACTATGAGGATTTTCAAAGCATGGCCCCCCTCTGCCACCCCCTGGCTCCGCCCCTGGACTCATATGTTCCAGTCCGATTTGATCTAAATTTATGTTGGGTTAATTGAGTTATTGTACTTATGTTAATCCACTATCTTACACCTGGACGTTTGTTAGAAGAGGGAGAGAGAAAAATTTATTCTCATTCAAATTCGATTTTTGTTTYATATTCAAATTCCATTAATTGATTAATTGAAATTACTAAATAAAAATATTAAACTTTAGCATGTTTTATTTAGCAATGATAAAAAAATAAGAAATTAATAAAAAATAGTAGTTCATAATGTAAAATACATTTGAATTATATAATAGAAAAATATATAATTAATAATAATAAAATGTAAAAAATATTAAAAGTAATAAAAACAATTGGAAATGCCATAAGGCTCTTTCTACCTAGGATGATCATTTATAACCTAGATTAGCCTAGCCACACCTACAAATTTTTAAGCTCAAGCAACTATTTTTTGGGTTAGGCCCAATTTGGATCCACACCAAGCCTTACCTAGAAGGCTAGAAGTTACATGATGGTAATGTTTTTATATAATATTTAGATAACAAATTTTATATAGATATATTGCTAAAATCAAATAACAACTTTAATTTGTAAAATGGGTTGGATCGGGCACAAGTGACCTTAGAAATTGATAATATACTATAAATATTTTATTTTTTTGATTCATCGGTACACACAATGAGGATAGCACATCCCCTATATCCATAACCCCAAAACTAGGGGTGCAACTCAGGTGGATTGGATTGGTTAAAGGTCAACTTAGGCCTAAGCCTAAAGGTGCAAACCTTGGACTCAGGCCTGGCCCAACCTGACGTTAAACCCAAGTTTATCAACCCAAGCCTAACCAAGCTTAACCCAACATAACTTGGGTTGGGCTTGGGCTTAGGATGGGCTGAACCAGGTTAGACGGGTTTGGGTGGGTTAGTTAGGTTTGAATGAATATCTGCATATATTTTCAGATAGTCATCTTTTATTAGGATTTATGGCCCAATTAACAGTATAATTGATTAAAATGTACAAATTTCATTTACAAGTGTACATATACATATTCTATACATATACACATGTATACATAATTACAAAAAATATATTTTTATATGAATATAATACACTTATGTATATATTTTTTTGAGGTGGACTCGGCTTGGGCCAAGCCCAAATTGGGTTGTGTTAGGCTCAACCGGGTTTGACCTAGTCCCAACCCGCAGCACAAAATCTTAGGCCCAATTCATGCAAAACTTTGGTTGGGTTGGGTTGTTCAGGTTGGACTCACCTAAGTTGCACTCTTACACAAATATATATATATATATATACACGTGACAGATATCCAAACGCCAGTAAACTCGACATGGGTCATGTACTTTTCTCTCTCCTCTCCTTTTTCGCCTCCTCTCTCTTTTCGGTCTTCTCCTTCTCCCCCCCTCTTTTTTCACTCACCTCTCCCGAGGAGAAGCTTGTCGAGCAAGTCACCTTCCCTTCTCAATTTCTCTCCACTCTCCCTTTTCCCTTTTCTAATGCATTCTCTCTCCCGCCATGTCTTCTCCAGTTCTCCCTTCTCCTCCCTCCCTTTTTCTCTTTTGTAGACATGGACAAATTTGAAGTTTTGTTGGAGCGAGACTCAAAGTCTCTTGCATTAAACCACTGTTTATGATAGTCTCTCTACACTCCATATAGCTACTGCAAGTGGTAAAGTCAGAGGTTGGTTTTAGCTATGCTCTACTTTTCCTATTCTTTCTTCGATTTTTAATCTTTTCATTTTCCTTGACCAGGCTTTTGATTGTTTTCCCATTTACGATGGTGGTTACAGGTTAATGGGGAAAGTTTTTCTTCGATCTTGGATCGATCTGTTCACCCAAATATCTTGAATCGTTATTAAACAGGGAGGTTTGTTTGCTTTTGGTCCTGAAATGTTTGATCTTTTCTTTTGCTTTTATTCCCCCCAACTGTTGATTATGGCGTAGAGGTACAGTTCATTAGGAGTTTTCATTTTCTCCTCCTTGCTATGATGGTTTTGGCTTTTGGTCATGGTTAAGATTTTGTTATCTTTTCTAGGTCTTCTACTGCATGAATGGTTTTTTGGCTTTAGCATTGAGTGGTATTACTGTTATGGGCCGAATGGTTTCCTAGGTTTTTACTTTTGATGCTTTTCATTTTTTAAGTTTTTTTCTTACTTGTGCATTTTTCCTTGTTGATTTTTCGTTTCAGGTTTTTCTTTTGCTCAATTGCCCTTACCTATTCAGGTGTAACTTTGGAAATTTTATCATTTGGCTCTTGGAAATAGTATTTTTTAGTCTTGTGTTACTAGAGGTTTAGAATGATTGATTATATATGTAGGTTTTAACTATGTTATAACCTTTCAATTTTTCGATTTAACTTTGAATAATGACTAATTTATTAAGAGTTTGGATCTGCATGCCAAGTGTAGTCATTAGATTGCAAAACCATGATACTGACAACGCCTGGTTTTCAATTATGGCATCTTTCATGGAAACTTTAATTGCAGCTCCATAACCCATTGTTTCAGGTGCTTCTCCAGCCAAAGCCACAAGACGAGAATGTGAATGTGAACATGGATGGTGCACAAAATGATATGGACAAATCCTATGTATCTATTGTCTACTGTACTGAACTCTTGTCGATTTCTACAGTTGTTTTCTTTTTGGATTTTTTTGTTTCCCAAAGGAGAGAGCATTACACTAGGTTATTAATGTTGCGGTTCAACGGAGTCAATTAGTAGCTCAGGTGTGGCATTTCGCTAAAATTTTGCATTTGTTTTTTATTATTTTATTATTATTATTTTTTTTCTTGCTTGAAGGCAAAGTGTCTTGGAGGTAATTAATTGCTAGAGCTTGGTAGGTTTTATCAATTTAGTTTAGTGGCCTTATAACAACCTCAAAAACGATGATGCAATGCCTAATTAGTATGAATTGCAATGTTTCTAAACGGTTCTCTTGGCTAGCATTGATTCTTGGCCCTAAAGTTTGTAAGAAAAATTATTGCTTCCCAGCTACAACCAATGAGTAACCGTGAAAGGTTGGTTTAAGTTGCAAGTTTGTGTGCACTTTTTCTTTTATTTTCTTCTCTCTAATCTCTTATGTTCTTCTCATTCTTGCATCCTACTTGTCTTTTTTACTAGATTATAACCATCTAATAGTATTTTATTTATGAGTTGCAAGTTTTTGTACACTTTTTCTTTGATTTTATTCTCTCTAATTTGTTATGTTCTTCTCATTCTTGCATCTTACTTCTTGTCTTTTTTACTAGATAATGACCTTTTTCTAATATGCACATGAAAAAATTAGGATTTATAGGTTTGTTACCTGAATATCACTGAGAAAAGTGGATCCCAGGATCTTCCAGGGGTGAGATGCAAAATTGAATGGCTAAAAGTGTTGCCGCCTAATTAATGGTAAGGGTGCTTAAAATTGTGCTTTAAAGAAATGAACTTCTACAGATTTAAAAAAAAAATGTATTGAAAGCTTACGTAAGAGGGAAATTAACTTCTACTTATTCTATAAATTTGCACTTGATTCCATGGGTGAGATACACAACTAAATGGCTAAAAATGTGGATCATTTCTATGGAATTGTGCAAAACAGTTTTCAGATTATGAAGGATTGGATCATTTTTATGGAATTAATCACGACAAATTTTAGTTTAGGAAGGATTATTTTATTCATTTTAGATTATGAAGTCATATTTACCTTTGGAGACCAACCGTGAATCTTTTGTAGGGATTAGAATTTTATTCTTTTTTGTTTGTACTAAACCAAAGCAAGTATTTATTTATATTCAATGGATACAAGATTCATTCATGTTACCTATTTTTCCTTTCCTTAAACAAATGAGGAGTGGATGCATAGTGGATTGAAGAAACACTAAAACATGATTAACAAGGTTGCATTTCTTACAGGTATTTTTCTTGTTCTTCTTCTACTACTGCTACTTTCAAACCCTGTTCCTTCCATCTCTCTTTCTCTCTCTTTTAATTTAAGGCAGCTAGGTTTTATTTTCTAATTCACCATTTTCCATTTCTTAAACTCACTGTATGGACCATTTTTATGCAGGAGAGGCAGTGCCTGCTGGCACCAAATATTCTCAAGTGGAACCATGACTGGTATAGTTCATATCTTGAGTAATTTCATAAATGGATAAGAATGTGGCTATCTTGTTAAAATTTGCCCCTTCTCTTGATTTTGATTTATCTGAAATCTTCCCTAACAATTAAAGTAAATGGTGTATTTTACAGTTCCACTTAGGATGATCACTTGATCTTTTCTTTTTTGGTTTCTAGAGAAACTTATCATCATATTTTAGGTTTTGAGTTTGATACAATCAACTAAGAAGTAATGGGGGATAGGAGATAGAATTTTGTTAAATCCTATCTATGTGGGTATAGAGGTTGTAAAACAATGTTGGCTTATGAAGATACAAATTTAAGCGAGTCCTAACTATTGGAGACTCAATTTCTATTAGGAGTTAGGAGGCCGCACAACCCCCAAATTTCTTTTGCATTGGCGGTATGGTTTGTATCTCCCATACAATTAAGATTAGGGAATATGTTTCAAAATTCTTGGATTTATTGTTTGTATTCCCATATTACCTCCCTTAGTACAACACATGATATTTTTGTTATTCTTGGTTAGGTTATATTATATTTGCTATATTGTTGATCCTCATGTTCATACATGTTTGTTGGGATTGGGCTGAAGGACAAGTGCCTAAAGAGAATAATGGGTTTGGCTACTACAGGTGTAAAACATGTGAATAAGTACCTATTTAAATATACCAGACTACCTGTTCATTTCTATTTGTGAAATGTGAATATCATATGGTTTTAGCAAAGGTGAATATCATGGTTTTAAGACAAGTGCCAACACTAAATGGGGAGAAGGATTGGAGTTATGAGAGAGAGAGAGAGAATCAATTTCTGTTTTGTTCTTTCTTCTTTTTATATTTTTGGTTGGAGGTGCATAGTGAGGTCTTACAAAACTCACATTGTTAGAGAGATCAGCAGGGATCATTGAGTTTTTGCCCCATCAATGAAGTTTGAAAAATTGATATACCTTGTTTCATATAAGATGTATATATAACATGATCATCTATTTATCAAGCAAGGAAATTTTTTAGATAGTGATAATTAAGCTCACCTTGTATGTAATTTCTATAACCCAAGTGTTGGGACTGATATTTTAACCAATGACCACATGGTATGGTAATTTTCTGAAAGGTTCCAGTGAAAAGAGAACATCCAAATGAACATCTACAGACCTTTTTGAGTCATTTTCCTCCCAAATGAAACAAAATTCCCTATAGATTTTTCAAAGAAATAGGAATTGGAAAAGTTGGTTCTTAGTTGTGACAATCTATAGTTTCTTGATCAAATCTTTTTTCTTATCTTTTTATTTATTTGTCTGGTTATCTCTTTCGTTTAACAAAAAGCAAGAACTGCACTAAATTTCCTTTATTTTTTATTGTTGTACGTTCAGACTAGGCTGCCAATCTTTTTCCCTTGTTAGCAGCTCCTTAATAATTTATTTTCCTTTTTAATTGAGCAGGTTTGGTTTTTATTGAAGATGGAAGATGATCAGTTGGGACAACCGCAAGTTTGATTCTCTGTCCTGGCGTTTAATCACAAATAATTAGTCATGGTGTTGAGAGACGAAATTGTCCATTGAAGAGAAATGTCTGCTATACAAAGCGATTCAAATAGCTTACCTCAAGTGGAAGATGTTAACTTGTTTATGTAAAGAACACGTTTTTTTTTTCTTATTTTGTAAGAAGCATATAGGTCGAAACTTTTCAACTTGGGCTATGTTTGGTTGCAATGCAAATTTATTTGCACCATTACAAATGCATGGGAGTACAAATGTAAAATATGCAAATTCTTGTTTAAGTTTGTTTTGGATTTTACTTTATTTTGCTTCATGTCTTAAATTCCTTCATTTGGACTACAATCAAACAAAATAAGTTAAAATTTGAAACAAAAATAGGTCAGAATTTACCTTCAAATCATTTGCATTGCAACCAAATTCATATGGGCRTTGCTTATTACACAACTTCCAAATATTTAATTAATTTCTTTTAAAAACGAATTCCTGCAATCCTTAATTAATTGCTMACTATTTCTGTGACGCACTCTTTTGTCAAAACACCCCTCAGGGGGTGGGGGCTATGCTGGGGTGTCATCATGATGGCCCCACAATCAATATAACTTTACCTTCAACCAACTGGTCTCGTAGCCTCTCCAAAGCAGAAAATTTCACATATTATAAGAATTGTTTTTCTATACGTTGCGGGGGCCACCCCGCTAGTACTTYTTTAATTTAATGGCCTTCTTTTTATTCAATTTCACTTAACAAAACCCGTACATCACATGAATCCCTCTAGTATTTATTACATCACATGAATTAAGAAAAATGGAGAATCAAGAATTGCACTCCTAAATTAGATGTAAAATTTTGCACTCCACAAATCAGAAATAATTAATTGTTTGTTTCTGATATTTATATAAGATGATTAAAAACGAAAGTAATTAATATCATCCATTGTCTAGAAGATCCTTTATTAACACTACATACTTATATTGGTGGTAAATTGACCAAATCTCACAATAACCAGCAACATATACAAGGAAAAACATTTATAATCAATCAAAATCGTGTACTAAAAGTAAAAGATGTTTCAAATGCAACAAAATGGGGCCAGGGAAACACCTATCATAAGCTATGATTCTATGAAATCAATTAAAGCATTAACTTCTCATCCGTATCATTGGTACAGTAGATGAATAGCCTTAGGATGTGCTCTATTGTGGTTGTAAATAGGTGTAGTGTATTTTAAACCATTGGGTCCCATCTCGGTGTGCTTGAAACCATAGGTTGCTCACCACACCTTTGGTAATGTTGTGTATGCTGTGCTGTGGTGGGCAATGCATGGACCCCTCAATAACATATTCAAGCACACCTGCGGTTAAATCTAATACACCACATCAATTGATTTTTATTTATTTTTTTAATTTCAAAGACCCGTTGTTTTGCATTTTTGGAGAGAGATACTATTTCATCAATCAAGTCATATGTATCTAATATATCGATCTATTCGTTCATAGAGCTATTTACTTGACAGTAGATATTTCTGGAATATCTCTAATAGAGGGACAAATAGTCAATCCTGCAGGAGATTTGAACCGATTTTTTTTTCCTTAATCCTTTGATAAATAGATTCATTCTCTTCATAAAAAATAGGAGGTAGAACCAATAAAGATTTCTTTTTCGATTCATCCATAGAGTTGAATACCTTATTCATTATTCAAGAACTTTTTTTTTATCCAATCCATAGGTATCAATAGAAAAGACAAATCCCTTATGATACACCAGATCCGGCTCGGTTATTGATAGAGTGAATAGATTTTCCATTTCTTGAAATCTCTTTTCTGATTCAAAATCGTGGTGTAACGCAATTCATTGGAAGAATGCTAAAAAAATTCATTGCAAGTGACATGCGATATTGTTATAGGAAATGTTTTCTCTTCCCCAAACCTCTATACCCTTGAGGTCATCTGCCAATAAAACACGTCTCAATCCTCTACCAACTACATTTAACACYGCACATCTCACCATGAAACAAGGACCTACCATAAAAGTGGGACCTACCATGTATGAGATGTGCGGTATGAGGTCATATTGGTAGAGGGTTGGAAGTTGGAACGTGTTTTGTTAGCAGGTGATCCGGACTTCCCTTAACTCGGGCTAAAGCGGGACTTGGTCCCAGGTAAAAACTTTACCGACAGTCTACCATGCACCTTCACCAAATTATCTATGTATTTATACTATATAATCTTGACACTTAGTTTGCCTTTATTTTGGTATAAGTCATAAAAGTTGAATCAAAGTATCATATCATATAAACTTAATACCTAATTTACCTTTTTGGGGGTGTTTTCTTTTTGGATTTGGAGAGGGGGGAAGCTGGTTAATGGGATTTTGGTTCCCATTGACTAAGAATTCCATGTTCTTTTTTCAACTTTATGTGGGGACCAGGGAAAGTTTATTTTCGTGGGCTTAGGTGGACAAATAACTTTTCCACATAAGAGGAAAATTGACAAAACTTGATTGGAACAAAAATGTYCCTTTTAATAATGGATTTCTATGGTTAAAATGGTTATTGCTTTATTTACCTGAAAAATAAAAGAACATGGGTAAATGCAATTACYTGGGTAAGTATTTCTCAGTTACCCAGATAGTTGCATTTATCCGGATAAATAACTTACCGAAAAGCGAAAGGGGCCTTCATCTTTTTCTACATGTATGCATAGCATATGCCCATGCACAGTTGCAATAATGCTAAATAAAACCCAAAACATACAATGTGGTGTTATTGGGGACACAAGAAATAAACTATGTGAACAACTTACAATATTTTTGAGCTATGCAGAAACCACATTTTGTTGGCTCAAATGAAATAACAACTTAAAAAAGAACACCCTACTGCCTACTGTTGATGTATTCTGAAATCGGATGCAACACAATAATACAAGTTGATCCAATTATGATTGATCCACTGACTCGCCACCTTGAAAGAAAAACGGTTCCATTTTTAAAACACTGATGTAGCTTTGGCCCCTATATATAAGTGGGGTTAGCAAGAATGTACACGGGCCCACTGGCATTTACAACGTAGAGAGCTTGCCTTCTACAAGTTCAAAAATTCAATTTCTCAATTCAATACAAGTATTTTTGGGCTTTTTTATGGCTTTCCATGCAAGGCCTACCTTACCATGCCATAAACCGCTACATAAAAGTCCTCCGAAATAGAAACAGGGCCAATAACCTAGTAAGGATTAAAATTACCTCACATATTGGTCCATATTGGCCAATATGTATCTTTTTGGAGTCTTCCCGATATACCCCTACAGAGGTGTTTCAGGTTGACGAGTGGCTCAGAGGATAGACTGGCCTTAAACCGGCCTTTCTGAATTAGTTTYGAAAAAAATAAAAAAAAAATGCATAAAAGCAGTAATCGATACAGGCCAATATGCCGTACCGACATATCACCCTATGTTGATATTTTGAACCTTGCAGCCTAGGCTATTGGCCCTCAACAGCCAAAGTTTTCTCCCCAAACGCTGTCTTTAGTTTATTTAAAAGCCAAAAAGGCTAAATTTCATTACTACTAAATATATATTTATGGAAAACATCAGTATGGGTCACCTCTCATCCACAATTCCACATTTAAATTGATGCCAACTATACCCAATTTTAAAACTAAATTGCCAACCAATCGGGAAAAATTATGATATTTAAAGTCTCATTCATTTTCCAGATTTTGAAGGGAAAGATTGGCGATTACTTTGGCTGTTTACAAAACAGTCAGGCTGTTTTGGGAATCTCTACACATGATGCCTTAGGTAATTCAGGTCCTGTGTTTCGGGAGCCTCTACACATGACACCTTAAGTAATTCAGGTCCTCATTTCTCTTTTCAATTAAAAAAATATTAAGTATAAATACTGTTTTACCTACATGATTAAGTGTCATTCACATAGGTTCTCAAAACAACTAAGTTCAAAACGGTCATAGTATTTTCATAAGATTGTAATTACTAATTTACCATTGATTATTTTTTCAGAGAAATATGGACATACCCAGTACAGATTTCTGATTTCTATTAAAGAACTGTAAACATTCAAAATGTCAAAACCCCCATTTACACCAATATCTGCTTATGAATTGGCATCAACTCCGAGCTGACACCCATCCAACTGTATTTAGGCCTAAAAATTCATAATTTGGACTGAACCATCATTCTCCTTTTTTTTTTT